CAAAGAGAGATGGCTTACATAGTAGACTATAAATGTCAGCATCTATGTTGTGGGCCATAGGACGCAGCAGATCCAGATACGTGGAACCCAAAGTGTCGGTCAGCTGATATCAAAGGCTAGGACTCGAGGAGCTTTTTTTTCCTATCAACAGAAGATCATAATCGCAGCAGCACTATTATACAATGAAATCGACTATTCAATCTTTCAAATCTAGAAGTTTATCAGAAGAATAGCAAAATAATTAATGATTATGGTCAGAACAGATTATTCTAGGCGGACTCGAAGACTCGTTCTAACTTCTCCGTAAACCAATTAACCTGCTTATATGGTAACATTTATATATAAGTGTAATTAATTTAATAACAATAATGCTTTAATTATCGAATATTTGCATCCCTTCTTTTTACATAAGTATCATCGATTTTTTTTGAAAATGATTGCTAAAGTAAAAAAAAAACTGTCCTGTAAGCCGAGCGAACGTTCGGATCGTTGGTCGTTGAAGTTTTTTTATACGTATTTTTTCCTCGCTTTGATTATACCATTCCCTATAACTGGGGTATTAGTGTGTCGACGTGGAACGTGCATGGGCTTATTTTGAGGACCTGTATTGTGCATTATGATAGTAAAAGAAAAACACAAAAAAATACGTGTGCTTAATTATTATGATCGTTATAGAGTGTCAATAACACCTGTTTAATTATTTGCTTCACGGCTATTGATAGGGTACGCTAAAAATGCACGGAGTGATGACTTGATAGCCAATGAACGGAGGTTTGAACATCGACAGACGTCTAGGGATACATTAATCTTATAAGTGATATATTTCCGATGATGGTCACGACGGGACTCGGAAGATCATATTAGGATCGAGTAAAGAAGACGCGAATCGTAAATACTCAGTAGTGTTATTCCTGGGAAATTCACTTGTCTGTCTCGTCGTTTGTCCACTTATCTGTATATAGTATCCGTCTGTCTTTTGGCTTCGCGATGTTAGTGGGCTCGGGAAGACGAACGCACACAATATTTGCGACATTTTCATTGTTAAATATCGCTAAGAACGTGTCCGTCTTAGAAAATAAGACAGCAGCTGCAGTCGCAGTAGCTTCAGTAACATCGATTGTCCATCCCGTTATATCCCGCCAAGGTACGCAGTTCCTCAGCCCTCGTGTGACTTGCTCGTTCCTCTTTATTTTACCATAGTCTCCCAAACTGTGCATCCCATGAATGATGAATATATATGCATCTTATTATTATTATTATTATATTCGTATAATAGGCATCAAAATCACCATGGTAGTGATAATACTGATAGCGATAATAACGTTGACGCCGGAAGGCCGTGCAGCGTAATTATCTCAAAATCTGGGAGGTGGTTCAGTGGTTCATAAAATCGAACGCCTCAGTCTCTCGGATATTTTCACGGTAGGGACAAAAACCGAGGCTTGCTTTAAGGCTGAGTGCCAACGTGCTTGTTAACGGTTTTTGAACGGCGGCTGAAGGTGTAAAACCGGAACCGTTTAGGTCAACCTAGCATACTAGTACTAATATGTGCGATGGTGATGAGGACTTACATTATTCTCAAGCGATCTGGAGCTCGTGCGATCAGTCGATGCTGCTTTTTGCCCTTTGCAGGCCCTGATAGCGAGTCTCGGGCGGAATCAGGGCCTGTTTAAAAATGGTTTTTGACGCTGACTGAGGCCAATAGCAGTGACAGCAGGAACAGCAAAATGACCAAAAGTGAACCAAGGACGAAAGGGCGCCCACTACATCTGATTTAATTGGGTATATGTGTGACTCATTGTCATAGAATCCTCAACCATAGGCAGATCAGCCCTTATTATCGGCAAAAGATAGGGCCTAATATTTTTTTACATTTGAATAATCAGCCGAGACGATGGCGCCAGCGTCGTCGTAAACGATGATCGAATGCTACGATGTGACGAACGACCTATTGCCGCTGGTGGCGCTGCTGACGTCGCTGTTCGTGCCAAATTTAAGAAAGTGAAAAAATGTCAACTCTAATCGACAGATCTGACGTTACTTGTACTGGCGGCGGCGGCGGCGGCGGCGGCGGCGGCGGCGGCGGCGATGGTGATGACAGTTTCTTTTTCAAATCGTGCTGGATTATTCTCAACGAGACGGTCGAAGTGCGTTGTCGCTATTTTCTTCTTATTTGCTCGGCATCTTCATCTTCTCCTGTTTCATTCTCTTCTAATAAATCTTTTAAAACGTCAAAGTGGTTGTGGTTTTCGGCGAGCGGCAGCGCTGGTGCTGGCCGCCAGCCGCTGCTACTAAGCATTCGTAGGGAAATAGGTAGCGTTGCTGTTTATGGAGCTGCACGCGGTGTCATATAGGCCACTAAAGATGGCGACGACGAAAGCAACATGAGAGAATAATAGAAGAAGCGTCACCCAGGTACCGAATTGTCTTTCAATTCTATTCGCCAGTCGATGGTCTTCGACAACTATTGTGGCTTGCTCACGACTGATGCTGATGAAGCTCGTGTTCTCCGATCCTCGCGGTCCCTTGTCGCTCTTCTCTCCCCAACTCACTGAATGCGACTTTGTCGCCCGAGGAGCGCAGTTGTGCGCTGTTGCATTGTTCGTGCATACTCCTCTCTCTCCTGACGAAAAAGAATACGCTTGGCCGCCGCCTCACGCGTCTTGGCAACAAATGCCATCAGATCGACGACGATATAAGATGCATCGAGCAGATATGGTAGATCAAGCGTAGTCTCCGCTGCTTCTTTCCGCTGTCGTTGTTGTTGTTGCCGCTGCTAAAGATTGGAAGCGTCATCGTTGGCGCCTTCCAACAGAACGAACGCCTTGTCAATCAGCAGCACCACCTTTCGTCGTTTGGCGAAGAGGACGAAAACGGTGCGTACGCTGGCACCGTACCCAGTACAGCGTAGAGATGTTCTACTATTGTTTATTTTTTTGCTATTTCTATTATAGTGTACATATTCGCCTATGATAATAGACACTGCCAAACTTGTCTTGTTTGTCAAATTGAAACAGAAAGTCAACAATATTGTAAAAACACTTCTTTTTAGGAAATTTCTATTATTTATATTCCTAACATAGTTTCGTAGTAGAGACCGCGAAAGCGCGACGTACGTCGCCTAAAATCAATATTATACGACCACGATTTCTCTCTTAATCATTTTCCATTTAATGTCAACAATCCTTTCGTGCACGGCGTAATTCAGCATCAGCAGACGCTGGAACATGCTTACAGCCTGAGAACAATGGCTACCTTCCTATAATTTACTCATGCGCAGTTCTTGGGAGACTATTAGACCCAGCTAAACTATCACACCCATTAGCACCTGTTGTTTATCTAGAAACACTACATCTACGACCTCGGTTCGTTTGCAGTTCGGTTTCGTACAACCCTTTATGTACCTTTTCTCCGCTAGGTCCTTGCTGTCAGTGTTCAACGTCGGGGGCGGTGTGGCAGGAAATGTGTGTTGCTATGGGAACAGTCAACGCGTGGCCATGGATAATTGAAGGTTGGAAAATGATTGCTATGGCATATTATTGCCATGCCATTTCATTGGTGTATTAGAGAAGAAGCCCAGATAAGTCCAGCAAGACCTGAACTGGAGAGTTAACAATCGATAGATTAGACAGGTAGATAGAAAGAAGGAAACATAGCATAATGTACCTCACCCGAGAGCAGACGTTCCGTAACGAAAGCCTGCGTTCATCGTGTTTTAACGGAAAGCTGAAATGGGCCTACTTACGTCGCAAGCCCTTTTTGGATGACCACCGTGGTTGTACCTCGCGGTTCAAATTCGAGGTAGTTCAATATACAGTGAACAGAAGCTGAGAGTCAGTCGCGAGTTGGAAAACTTTTATCTAATTCCTAGCGTCCAGGCAATTATGGCAGGTCCCGTTCGTATAAAAGATTAGCGGCACAACGAAAGGAAAGTTGAAAAAGAAACAAAAATAACAGTAAAAAATAATGTAATTACTAGAGAAACAAGCGGGACCGTGTGTAAATCGTACCTTCTAATTATGCATACCATTGTATTCTGTATTATATATATTAACTCGGATTGCCCAAGGCAATCCGCAGAGAGTTGCGAGCATAGATTACTCGAATGTTCATTTTTCGCTCTATCTGTTCTCCTTTGAAAACATGTATCTGTGTGTGTATGTATGGGTACGAGATATCGGCATCGTTCTGCTGCCTTGTAACTGTTTTATACGTTGTTTTTTATCAGCGAGTGACGTGAATCTCTGAGCACGACCCAGTCACTTTCGTTCAGTCGCTCCCGCAGTTTATCTATATCCTCTCTATTATCGTTACTCTGCTTTTGTTTGTTTCGTTTAGTTACCGCAATAGCCTTTTAGTGAGTTAACGAGTAATAAATATCCTGCAAAGTAAATAAACGTAACAATATTTGTTCCATTTGTTCAAGTTGCCTGTTTAATTTAGCCTATTTTGTACAGCCAGGCCTAAGCATCGCATTACCCGAAGGAATATCTACGCAAACCTGCGATACGTTCTTAATAAGTTTATGCCATCATAATGGAATCCAACGATTTAGGAGTCTCACAATTTAGATTACTCAGCCATATTTGCTGGGCAAAAAAAGTCAAGCTACGGAAATCGTACAGAATGAAAAAGTAATCATGGAAAGCAGTGATTTGATTGACAATTAAATCGCTCGCCATACACCCTGATAGAAATTGTCAAATAAACGAGGTCTCATTATAATTTTAGTGGAATTAGTATGCCTATTAACTGACAGGCATAGAACGGACGCTATTGGCGTTGATGTCAAACTACTGTTTTCGTAACGGTATTATGAATGCTAAATACTTAGCCCATTTTGTGCATTTGTCCACTATTTTTCGAACTGAACCAAAATGGTCACTCATTTTTGTATGACTGTTGGGCCTGTCTAAAGCTAAATGTCTACATGATCAGTTAACGCAAAGGCTGGCCGGCCGGCCGGCCGGCCGGCCGGCCCGCGTCACTCACTCACTCACCATCTGCTGTCGTAGAGTGTGGAGTTGGTGTAGCATCTCTGCAAGTTTACGCTGTTTATCGACCTCATCCTCTCGCCCAAGGGCAGCCGTTAAAGAGGCTTTCCTGTAACCATACAAAATTGGTATTAATGCGTTACAATATGACCCAGATATGCGTTCTGAATCGGCCGTTCCTCTTCGTCAAATCGTCGAAGAAATGTGCCGTCCTCAATTCGTAATTTCTCCCACAAAAGAAGCTGTTGCTTTATTGCAACCGGGAACGAATTGCACTCATTTATACGCTATGACAAGACGAACTCTGCAGTGCAGAAGAAACGTTCCAGTGGGGTAGTAGCATTTAAATTTGGTTCACAGTGAGAAGCTAACTTTCCGCCATTGCGGGCACGTTCATTGAACGTCACCCCCATCCAGCTACGCAGCAGCAGCAGCAGCAGCAGCAACTATTGCGAAACAGTATTCGTCCTGTTTTAGTTTCCCTTGAAATGGCTGAACGTTTCCCGCTTTATTTCCTAAAAAATGTAAGCTTCAAATAATTATTCTGTACAAGGATGGTAGGAATAATCACGTGCCGCTCCAAATGAAGCAAACATTCAAGCATCATCATCTTCGCCACGAACGTCAGCGGCACCGCGAGTAATATCATTATGGTAAGCATATATATATACGGGCAAACGATGCTGAATTCCGACCGCAGTTTACTGTGTCTGTGTTTACGCCAGCTTCCGAGGCGACAAGAATTCAAAGCTACCCGCCCAGCTGCTGATGGTGCAGCTGTAGTTAGCTGCTGCTCCTCCTGCCGATTTTGGCGTTGGGCTCAATTGGTTGGCTGGTTTGCTTTATGTCGATAGCGCCACTGCTACCGCCGCTGTCGTCTCTACCGTTTCCATTACGAAGAAAAATCTGCCGTTCTTGTCGGCTGACTGGAATTCCGCTATGTACGTGTATCTATGTCGTCGTCGTAGTAATGTCAGCCAAATCAGCCAAGGAGAAGTGTTGCGTAGCAGCGGTTGCTAAGAGAAAGGTGGCAACCCGCCCTGTTTCAACACATCAACCGGGTCTGTGTTTACGTATTGACTATATCCAGTAGTAGAATATCGGTCAAATCACAACCAGACACTAATGTAACAGATGCAGCACTGGCGTTAGTCAAGAACAATAGAACCACAAGTGCACCACCTAAGAAACCGTCCGTACCACGCCAATAGACACGGACAAAGATGACGACATTTAATGCCGCAGCCGTAGCTGTTCATATGAATCAGTCGAAGATGTTCGGCTAGACCCGGTGTGGCCGTCAAGACTTTCGCCGATTTCATATGGTTTGTCTGAGACCTATCTTGCCTAACGTACCTTGCCTAAATGGGCCTTTTCGTCGAGACTCGAGTCGGCTCTCGGCCAACGCCTCAGCAGCGTGGACCTTCATCGATTGCGCTGACCACCGACGCACATCCAATTGTCCATTGTCGTAGCAAATCCATTAGCGGCAATACGTTTAACGATCGCCAGAGAAAAATTAACAAGATTAACGTGAATTCACGCAGCCAACAGAGAAAAAAGATTAGCAAGATGAACTAGTCGCTTCTAGAAACCTGCTTCAGGCGACACCCAAAGCAACAAAAATGGCGATAGAAATGATGACTTTGTCGCTGCATAATAGGGCTCTTAGTTTTCAACAAGGAAGATTATGTATGTTTTTTGTTACGTTTCGACCCAGAGTTCGTTGCTATCCGTTTGATCTGCGTGAAAATCGAGTACGTAACGTCGATTCGGAAATAAACGCATCCCGGAACAGCGATGGCAAGCACTCAACGGACCTTGATTGTACGCCTTATCGCAAAACGAACCCCGGTGAGGCTAATGGAACGAACGTTTGATTCCTTTAACTGGGAGCAGATTTTGCCTTTACGTTTTGACGTAAACCAAGCATTCGGTCACTTGTGACAATCAATACAATGAGATCCCCTTGCCGTGGCAACGTAATCTTTCCTTCAGCATATACGCACGCATGTGTAACCTATATCGACTGACGATGTATATATATCATATGTAGCTTGTATCATCAGCGTTAGCAAATGCAGCCGATTTTTTTATTTTCGTAAACGTTGCTACGATGTACGTTTATCTAAAAGAAGTACTTTTCGTTAAATATTAGACAACGATCTCATCATGAAGTGACTAGGCGTCATCCAATGACAGGGAAACATTGAGGAAGCCCACTGTCCGCAAATGTCAGGATGATGAGGGGTTATAGTCTTCATTAATTTGTTCTACCTAACAGACGACCAACTAATAACAGCTCGTAACAGAAAGAATAGCAATAGCTACATGATGATGGCGAGACGAAAAATACATCGTTGGGATCGTAGCAGCACCAGTGGTGAGGTAAATTACAAAATGTAAATATTGATATACTCCGTCTAACGGCAGTAGGAATTGCAACGCTGAGGTGCGTACGTCATCTGGCGGATCTTCAGCATGTCCTCTGCGTGTTTGCCTATTTTAGTTCTCTGTGTCTGCTTTTGTTGCTCGTATCTGTCGTCAGCTGATACTATGTTCATTGGTTTGTTGACCAAAGTGGCTTCTGCACTTAACGCTGCGAACGTCGACGGTACAATTTTGTCGGGACATGATTTTGTGCTGTTTTTGCTGTTGTCGTAGTGTAGTAACATATGCTTCCAATGGAATAACGAATCGTAGTCAAAAAAAAAGATAACGGAAACATAGAAGAAATATTAATAAGGTCTAATTTATTTCTTGCTTTGTCGTAATGTCTGCGCTTGCGTTGCCTTCGATATATTTCTTCCTCGCCAGCCTAACTTCTCCTTCCATCGAAAATTCGTCGCACAATATAGATTATAAGCCAATGACGGCAAAACTCTTCCCGAGACTAAAAATAGAAATCTCATTTAATCTTTAGTACCCTCGTGTTTTGTGCTTTTTCTTGGCGGACGGAAACTCTATCATGCGCTTTATTGGCACGGTCGGTTTTTTGTGCCTGCTTTTCAATTGCAGCTTGTCAGATAAGTTGTTCGATGTTACTAGCCACTGATACACATAGAATCACTAATCAAGAACATATACTATACGACATAGAACACGTAACAAAGGTGGCTGTATTAACAAGATTGCTGGACAACAGGCCGCTGAAGATAGCTCGAAAAGGCCTATTCTTTCTACTGAACGAAAACTATCAAGACACACAGACCGTACAACAAAAACATTGGACATTGAATTTTTTTGTCCAGTTTGTGCATACCATATCCCCTTTGTAATGGCCAGGTAATTCGATGAGACAAATACAAGAACACAAACGCACGTAAACAGAAAAGACACTGCGCACACTCACGCAGTTCAGATGAGTAACCTGCACATCCGTGCAGACGCATATACAGACGTTACAGCACATCTATAACCATCACCGTCTAGTAGAAGAAATGGTCTTCCAAAGGTGTCTATGTGTTATGCGAAGATGGTCATCTCGGTAAATTTTTTCGCAATTGAAGAATGAAATATTTCTTAAGACGAACGCCATCTGATCATGCCTACAGGAGAAATAGCGACGACGATTCGTGAGGTAACCATTGCGATGCTACAAATGTATATATATACATACGTGTACAGCTAAGTACCGATGTGCAGAACAGTATGTTTCATATAAGAGACCCTGATAGACATATCAGGGATAATTGTTGTGACAAACAGCGAGATAATAGTAATAAGAATATATGTTTGCATTATTATATATATGTGTATATTTCCACGCATTTGTTTATTATGGTCGTATGATGGCGAGAGTTTATAGTTCTCTCATCTCGTTTCAATGAAAATGTTTTTTTTGGAAAAGATTCCGGCTTGAGCGTTACTCGTTGTTTCCCTGCCTTGAAAGGACAAGGTAAATGTCTCTTGCTTAATTTCCCGTAGCACCCTTCTTCAGGTTGACGAAAGGCTGAATTCCTATGAACGAATATTGGTGAGGTATCTGTCACTGACCATATTTTGTTTTTATTTAGAGCAGTTACGAACTAAACAGGAGTATTAATATTACTTTCTTTAATTTGCCAAACACACACGCATTCAGAGCGAACGAAAAATCGTAGATGCCAGTGCTAATTACTACTGTAATGGTAATGCTTTTCTGGTTTACGCTTTCCCCTATCTTTTCCATCTTCCTCTTTGCAAACTGAGAGGAAGAGCGCTCTGTGAAAGAGCGAGATGAAAACAAAAACAACGGCGAGTTATCTCACGGTCACATGGCTGGCGCATGCCGGTCAGGTCTCGGGCTCTCCTTCGATTGCTTTAGCTTGCATGCTGGCTTTATAACAATGCTCTACCGAATGCCGCTTCCTTCAGTATCACACTACCGTTACGACAACTCTGGTGAAGCAGCTTTTCGACGCTGACTGTCCACCACCGGTCGTAACGAACGGTGGAACTGTCATCGGTCATTCGGGATGGGGGGACAGATCTCTGCGCGATGCAGAAACCTCAGTATAAGCAGTAAGAAGAAATTGTCGTTTGCTAGCTTCTGAAGGTAAGCATGGTTCAGTCATCTGGCTAGTTACCAGCAACAGGGCATTCCTATCGTTTGCGTAGCTCGTTATGTCCGCTGCTGGCATCTGTTTTGTACATGTCGGTGCTACAGCCGCCGCTCTAGGTCGGCAACAGATCACTGGCCGACCATGTGTTCGCTCGCCTGCGGGTATCCACCTGTCCAACACGTCGTAAGCTGTTGCACTATTGCACCGCAACAGGCACAACAAAATGCGTGACCTTAGATCAGCACCTTCTGCCGACGTTTATCAAAAAATGTCCAACGCCTGTCATCGCGAAAGCATTGTACACGTAGGTACACATCTATGGCTCTTGGCAACGATAATAATGGCATCCATGGTTTGACCGTACTGCCAACGGTTAATTGCCACCTGCCCAACCGATCAGAATCGACAGATACCTCGACGAACCAAATTCAACAATGAATGCTGAATTACGTGTTCCTTTTGATTCCGTAAGCTTGTGACTCGAAGCATAGCGCGGTATAGAGTTAGTCGCGCAGAGAACGCAAGCCGGCGACCCAGCCGCCGCTGCACTCATTCTGCCTTATTT